GGGAGAGAAGTTATGAGGAACGGAGCTTAGGAACCGGAGACTAATTAGCTCGACTCGGAGAGGTATCTGCAGGATACAGTCATGCCCGATTGCTCCTTAGAACATGGCCACAATCTAAGCCCATCTCCTGAGAGCCGGTTTTGGTTTTGGAACTTGGCCAAGAAATGCTGAAGATCCCAACTGAGTTTCAAGTCACTGGAATTGCCTCTTAGTTAAACTTATAAACCTTCAAAATAATTGCACGAAGGTGACTGACTCAACTTAAAGAAAAAAACCGTGACGTAATCATACAGTATCTGCGGATTAAATTTTCATTATTTTCATTGCCAAATTCGTTGGCACGTCAGAATCGTCTGTCGTTGACAACTCAGATAATCGCCGAACACGACATTCTTTTTTTGAAACTTCTTTGAGAATTTCAGTTCGACTAAAACTCTGGGAAATTGCTAAAGAAACTATCGAACTTCTTGACAATAATTTATTTAGTGCTGAACTCTGGCAAAAGATAGGTAATCATTCATGACATTTCAGAAAACTCTCAATGATATGCTCATTCAATGGCTAAAATTTGGGCAAAAGACATTTAAGAAATCACATTCAGTCATCATTATCAGAGTTGCTTGAAAATAAAGTCGAAAATTTTTTGGGTGATGCTCTTCAAAAAATGGTAATGATTTTGCTCCATTAAAAGTGACTTAACCTCTCTCGCCTTTTCATTTAATTCCAATAGTCTTCAAGGCTGAGTCAAAATATGTGCGAATATCGAATTTTTTTGGGCACGTTCCGTACAAAATGCAGAATTGGCGATTATACGAACAGGGCCCGGCACGAGGTGGGCGAAAGGGGTTTTCGAAACGAATTCCCCTTTGACTCCGAAAATTTTACGAATACTCCTTGGAGCACGGGACCTTGCGTTTGCAGAACGAACCACCGGCTAGACTTTTCTTAAAAACTCCCGAAAGCGCCCAAAACATTCGATTATCTCCGGTCTCTTCACCTTTCTCACTTCACGGAGAAATAATGAGTATAACCATGAAAATATACGAATTTCACTTATTGATTGTTGACCGCACAAACAGCGGAGCATGCGCCGCGAGGTAAAACGCTGACCAGTACAAATTGCTGTTGTACAAGTCGTGCTTCCGCAACATTTTAGCCGCGCCAAGCGTGGTCCGCAACGTTTGAATGTACAAGCAACGACTCGACGGTACCCACTTGGATAAATACAAAATACCCGTGGATGGATCTCGTGCTCAGAACAGATGACAAAAGGTAAAAATCCACAACAGTGATCTCATGAATCCTCCAAAAATGAGGCCGGAGTAATGTGAAACGATAAAAGGGTATCAACGATATCCAACCAGTTGTGGAATGAGTTCGAGTGGTAAGGGGCAGGCACCTTAAACGAGATCATCAAAGGTTTGATCGCAACAGTTACCCGATCATCTTCATCTTTTCGCTCAAGATCACTAAAAAAACAATAATGTTTCATAAGAAAACACACCCAAACTTTGAATAAGGCACCCTCATCAACTTGTAAGAGCACTGCGCTTGCCAGCAAATTGATTCATATTGTGAGCAAATCATGCAGTTGCAAAAAAATGCCGACAAGTCATTAACTATGACCAAAACATTGGCAAAAAAAACGAGGTTTATGATTGAATGCCCATCATAAAAGCAAAAATTTGGTATAAACACAAGAGGAGCAGTTTGGCCTCGGTCAGGCTATGCCCAGAAGCGCCTAAGAGCGCTAAGAAGTGCCCAAAAGCCCTTAACACGTTGACGACGGCCATTTTTTTTACGTCTGTCCCTGTGGACGAGCTGTTTCCGGGCATATTGACGATCGCCTCTTTGTATATATGCATGCATCTACGTGCAACATACGAAAATTCAAGTGGGCGGGGCAGCCCCGCCC